GGATTTATATCATGATTTAATTTTAATAATTATGTGATAAATTACTTGAAAATTCATTTATTGTAATTTGTTAACATCTTTTTTCATTTCTGCTGAGTATCTAGCAATCAATTATTCCTCAAGATGCAACATTTTAAATAGAAATATTATATACGTATGTACAAAAAAAATTTTTTAATATATGAATGCAAGCTAGCTATAAAGTTTTATCAATTTGATTTGATCTACAAGGGATCAAAGGAACCAAATTTCAATCAAAATTTTTGATTCTTTTTTTAAATCAAATACCCAACAAAAGCAAAAAATTTGTTCCTAAAAAATTATTTTATCCTAATGATAATTTCATTATCATTGTCTATATCATATCATTGTCATATCATTCTCATATCATGTCCATGTCCTATTCTTAATACTATACTTAAAGAAATCAGTTCATTCCTGTGAAACCCTGATTTACTTTTTGGGACATTCTTCAGTTAGGCCGGTTTTATTGTTTTTTTTATTATTAAAAACAAAAAAAACAAAGAACGAAATGTGCCTGTTGTACGTGAAAATGAAATTATGTGAATTCGCAATTCACATATGTGAAATTCAAATTTACATATGTGAAATTCAAATTAGCCAATCAGAATTTCACTCCACTCCATAATATTTCACATACAACATTGCCAAAAATCAGCCTGAAATCGTGTAACATTGCAGAAATCGGTGGATATGTAGTACCTTTTGTCAGGTTACATGCCAAATTTCAGGTGTGGTTGTTATATAAATTCTTGAGCAATTATTTTTTTTTGGCAGCCTATATTTTTCAGTTTTTTTTTTTTTATTTTCTTGAGTGTCTTTAATTCGGTACAAATTATTTATATTTTATTTGTTTGATTAATTATTTGTAGTGACCAAAACTTTTGTCCACAAAAAATAAATTACTTATATGACTTATTAAGAAAAAAATAAAAAATAAATCTATTAAATTAATTATAAACCCAAAATATAAATATAATCTATTATCATTATCACTATTTTTAATACATTGATTAAAGTGAACCAAGTCTTACATCCATTTCTTCTTCAATTAAAGCTACTAATGCAGGTTCCAACAATGGATTTGTTACCTTCAATGAATCACAAAAATTTTTTGCCAAATCAGCAGGATCATCATTGACATGAACACAGATTGTTAGAGTATGACCATCCTCAAGTTCCGCATTTATTGTTAAAAGAAGCTGGCCATGATCATGTTTATCAACACATTTTGGAGTAGTAGAATAATTCTGTTCTAATGCTGGATTAACCATTGGATATGAATCATGATGATTATAATAATCTTGTTGTTCATTAATACAATAATTATTATTCTCTTGATTAAAATTATTATAATAATTATTATTGCTTTCCCTGGATTTGATTAGCTGCATTTCATTATTATTAGTAGGAGGTGGGAAAGGTGGTTGTGGTGATGTTGATGGTGGCGGTGGTTGTTGTTGTGGTTGTTGTGGTTGTTGTGGTTGTTGTGGTTGTTGTGGTTGTTGTGGTTGTTGTGGTTGTTGTTGTTGTGGTGGTGGTGGTGGTGGTGGTGGTGGTGCTTGTTGTAGTTGTGGTGATGGTTGTGGTGGTGGTGCTTGATTCCAGTATGTAGTTGAGTCAAATTCTTGAGAAATGAACAGCATATTATTGTCATTATCATTGGTTGATTTATTTGTAATGGATTGTAGAACTGGTGAAGAAAGATTTTTATCAGATTGTGAATTCAGAGTGCTTGAAGGTATCGTTGCTGAATTATTATAATTATTATAATTATTATAATTATTATTGTTGTCATTATAGTTTTCCTTATTATTTTTATCATTATTATTATTAGTTATAAAATTTTCATTATTGTTACTTTTAACATTATTGTTATTAACATCATTGTTACTTTTAATGTTATTGTTATTAACATCACTGTTACTTTTAACATTATTGTTATTAACATCATTGCTACTTTTAACATTATTGTTAACATTCTTAACATTAACATTATTGTTATAATCTGGTTGAGATTTAGTATCCTGATCTGTAGTGTTTTGCCTAGATCTTGATCTCCAATTGGCAGAATCTTGTGGATGAGATTGTTTTTGCTGATTATATCGTGATTGATAAGAATTCCTCTGGTGATAACTACTTTGTTTCTGATAATAATTTAATGCTGACGTTGGTGTTGACGTTGGTGGTGGTGGCCTATGAGAAGTGGAAGGTGAAGATCTGTAAGAAGGCTTGGTTTTAGAAGGAGGGATAGGATCTCTATAAGATCTAGGTTGAGGAGGCGATGGTGGAAGAGGTAGGGATTTTTTTTTTTTACCAACGTTTTTTTTATTCTGAATTTCGAATAAAGTTTCTTCATCAACAGGAATGTAATTTCTTCCATGACGATGTAATTGACCTGAACCCAAACCATCATCTCTCTCTTTTATATTAGGGTTGGCAAAAGAATGCCATGACATTGCTACAGCTTTTATGTCAACAGTCGATATATCAAAATCTTTTTTAGAATTAGAATCATTATTTTTACTTGATTGTTCCTTTATCGTTGCTGTTGTTGTTGATGATGATGATGGTAGTTGTTGTTGTTGATTTTGAGATGTTGATTGTTGCTGTTGTTGTTGTAGGGAGGAATTAGTCCAACCAGTTTGCCAATTTTGCTCATCAGACCAATTTTGATTCCACTGATTTTGCTGTTGTGGTGTTTGTTGCCACTGAGTTTGTTGTTGCTGTTGATGCAATGGAGACCGTTGTATTTGAGATTGAGCTTGAGATTCTTGCCAATCCATTTACCTTTTTATTTTTTTTTTAAAATTATTTAAAAAAAATGTTTTTCCATGAATATCTATCTATTATACAATTACTACTTACTATATTAATATACGGGGGCATGACGCCACAGGATAATTTCTGTACAAAAGGATCCTGAATACGCCACGTCTCTATTATGAACAAAAATGGGATAAATTATCAAACAAGTTTTAGAAAGGGAGGATTGGTTGATGTAAACCACATCAAAAAAGTAATGGTTATTGTAATTAATCGAAAAAATAAAAGATCTCCTTCATTAATTGATCAAAAAGGTAATAGTTTTTTAAAATATAACGATAAAAGATAATAATTTTTTGTCTTTATGACAAAAAAAAAGATATATATTTTTCTTATAATAATTATAAATCCATGTTGGTTTCCACATGGAAGAAGATGATTGAGAAAATCAAGTACAAGTTAAAAGACTAGCAAGAGAAAAAACGGAAGGTCATTGAAAGCGGAAAGGTTTTACGACCTACAAGAAAGTGAAAACACATTCATTGAATTTTTTACACACAAAAAAAAAGAAAACATTTGCAACTTAACATCTCTCGAAAATAGAAAATTCTCCCCTCCCCCACAAAAATCAAGTTTAACAAAAGTTGATTTTCAATATCTCCTCAACATTAAACATCAACATCAACATGCCATGTGGACTTCTTTTCGGCATGATCATACCATTATTAATCCTGAAATAGAGACGCCGGATTGCTTTCGTTGTTTTCTTATGTTAATTAATAATTACAATTACCAATGTTTTCCACAGGTCATATCACCAATGGTCACGTGGTCATATGGTCATATTTTCATTTGGTCATAAGGTTATAAATTTTGACCAATAAATTGAAATTTCTAAAAAAATTTTTTTTACGTTATTATTATGGGCATACTGTTATCTAATATTAAATTATTCGTTGAAAAAATTTTTTTTTTCAATAATCAATATTAGTACTATATAACTTAGCTAAGGTTTATTACAATTTGTTTTGTTGAAACTTAATATTACAATTGACAAATAAAGATTTTTTTTTTATAAATAGTTCGATTTAAACCTTTTTTAAAATTTTTAAAATATAATTCTTGCAAGTTAAAATTAGAAAATCAAAAAAATCAAAATATATATATATATATATATATATATTAAATCATGACTTGATTTTACTTAACTTGCAAATAATGAAAAATAGTTCTGCTGTTTGAGGCACTATGATATTATTCATTACCTTTATTATAGTGTTATAGGTTTGCAGTATACATTTTTAATTATGATTTTATATCAATATTATGTGTAGCCGAAAGTAATGTTCAGTTTCGAGTTAATTGATGATAATTAATGTCTATTTAAGCCTTCAGTAGAATGGAAATAAATAAATTTATATCCCACATCCTAGATCGCCCTCTACAAGTACGATTTTTATATATATATATATATGTAATAAATAGGTGTGTTATTTACAATGGATTCGATTCTTTATATATGTGGTGACAAGTACTTTATAAACTTGATAACGTGCCAACCCTCTTCAAACTAACTCCAGGCTAGCAAAATTACTTCCTTTAACGTGTGATTATTGCCAAATTCGAAATGCCGAAATAGTAGCCGTAACTAATTTTAATAATTGCTAGAATTATATCTTGAACTCTTTAATCTGAGATAAATCAAACAGCATAATTATTTTATGTTCATAAAGAAGATTGAAAAGCCAAAAATGATAAATTAGGACCACAGGAGAGACTAATATTTTTCAAGATTGATCAAAGGTCCGTTCTATTTACAATATGCGTTTTTAGGGCATTGTAATAGTTTTGTACTTTCTTCTTCAGATTCGTGTATGATCTTAAATAAAGTGCACGCAACCACTGTCTAATAGGAATAATAATATATTATTTTTATTGCATGTTACAGGAAGAAAAACTAACCCTTGAAGTTATCAACACATGAAACACCGCTCAGAGACGTTATGTGTAAAGGAATTGAAGCTTGTTCAAGCAAGCCATACCTGTTTCTTTACACATATATAGCATAGGCTCCTAATATATGATTGTCGAGTATAAACATTCAAGCCTTAAAAACTACTTATATTACAATTGCCGCTTTACCTGTGTAATATTAATTGCAAAATAGTCATTGGCTAAATGTTTTTTGAAGTTAGGAAAAACTCTTTATAGTGTCAATGAAACATGCCAGCTTTTTATGGTCTTGTAGTTGTTTAGCCTGGGTTAAATTTGGCTGACCAGCTTCTAAATAAGAAATTCCAAGTTCCGCATTATTTCCTAATTGTGTCAGCACCATATAATATCTGGCCTTCGTGCAATTTTTCGCGAATCTTTTCTTGTTGCACTGGCCAAACTTCCTTCTTTGCCCTTAATTGGAGAATAAAGTAATTAACTAATACGTTATACATCATGCTACTAAATGTCCCGGAAAATCACTCATCATAATATTTAACAATGGTGCAATTACCAAGATCCCTCGTTCACCCGTGTTTTCCGTTTTTTTTGTAAACGAATCATATTTTGATGACCTCCAAATTTTTACTCCCTAAAAAGAAAAAAAACCCGTGATATTCTAACTAATAACCAGAGTCTGCTTTATACAAAAACTACAAAATATTAAGATTAGTTCTAACAATTGTCTTGTTATTTGTCCTAGTTTTTCAGGTTGATCTAACCACTCTCCAAATTTAGTCTTACCCAACATATTACATTCTTCTGAAACAAACTTCATACCTATATCCATTATTACATTATTTTGACTTATACTTTTGAAACGATCCCTGAAAATATTGCAAAGCAGCTCTGGCATTTTTGTGAAAGGCAAGTATTTCAGAGCACAATAGATGGTCAGATCTCTTCCACTTTTATTTTATGCGACTATATTTCAATTGTCTCTCACAATGATTTTTCGCGACCAGAACTTTTCTTCACTAATATCAGTAAAATAATAATATCTAGAGCTATGAAAAATCAAACTAACATGTAACTTACAAACCTTTTTAACTTTCTTTTTTTTTTTTCAGAGACTGACGACCTAAAAAATGGAATATATATATTCTTTGTGAGTAATAATATGTTACATCTGATGTATAAAAAAATCAAGATTAGAATTTGACAATTCAACCAAACATATTTACAATTTGTGTATCAATGTGATATTGTTCAATCATATCCTACTATTAATCATTGAACATACGCTTCTTTTTTGACCTTGACTTGATATTAAATCCAATTTCATATGATCCGTATTCTCGAGTAATTGAACAATACCTTCATCGTAAATTTAAATCTATTATGGAATGTTATGTTTGGGGATGGTAAAGCCTGATCCGATCCTAAGGACTGCTAACCTATGAAAGTATGGATTTGCTCAGTCTTGGGATCAACTGGAAATTTTATCATGTGAGTAAAGATAACAGGTTAAACAAATCAATCATCAATTATAATAATAGTTGCGCTAGTTCTATCTAAATTTTAAAAAAAATATTTACTAAAAAAAAGAAGCTAATTATCTGTATACCATCATCATTATCACCTGGTACATCAATCAAAAAGTAACGGAGGTACTACTAACAGAAGTAACGAGACCGCAAACGACCTTCTAATATAGACATGGCCAAGATATTTAAGGTGTTGGTAAAGAATGATAAACTTCTATTTGTATTGGTGGAGTCATCGTCGAGGACTTTCCACGTACATTCTCGCTTCATCTACAATAGATATTGATGCCAATCGCGCTTTCCAAGTATTATGTTATTCGTAGCTTGCTTATATATATGGTATAAGGTGGAAGTCAAATAATAATCTAACCCTGAAAACACTAATAAAAAGACATAGTATACAATAGACATAATAAGCCAAATACCATGCTTCATTACTGGTACGAATCAAGAAACTATACTAATTTGGGATGGTGGTGCCAATCAGAATTTTCGTCTTTTTTTATTATTTTGATGTTTGTAGTTTGCAAATAAATTATTTATTAAATCCAATAAAAACTTCTAATTTTAATATCATGGACTGAATTATGAAAAAATCGATTAAAAGCGAATAGTTTCAAACAAAAATGGTTATATGGCCCCATTATGGCCATCCATATATGTTCATAAATGAGCATTTTGCACAATATGCATTCAATATAAAAGAAAAAATCAGAAAGGTTCGTAACAGAATACTAATGTCTAATATTAAAAAATTTTCTATTCAATAAATTGAAAATGTAAGTATAAAATCGGCAATAAAAGACTATAGATCACAAAGAAGAAGGAGAAAAATTAGAACTTTCCAAACTTGCAACGGAAATTTGGATGGTGATATGCATATTATAGGTATAATAACGGCAAAATTATATTCCTTTGAAAACATTACTATCTCTGATTCAACATGCAAAAGAATTGAATACACTGGGTATTTATTCCATTTTCATATAGTAATGAAACGGTAACTACTTTGTCGGTCAGTTGAAGGATCAGAAAACATTATTTAAAAAATCAAGTGAAATGATCGAAATGATTGACGTTTAATACAATTGAGCAATATATTATCAATATCTGATCAATACGAATCAGCATCAATATAAACTCTGGCAAGTCTTGCTTAAAAAACCACCTTGCACAAATAAAGAGCTTGAAGGAAAAAACATTTTTTTATTGCTGCAACATTGAGGCCAGAAATCATGTAATTATTTTAATTTTCAAAAATTTAATTACAATATATAATATGTGAATAAATATATATTTGTATATAGGTATGGACAAACTAATTGTTATGTTGGTGTAGATATAAATTATGGTCTTTTCAAAATAAACGAGTCTGATATTTTTATCTGCACTTATTGTGCAGCATGAAACATGGCATTTCAAGGATATTCTGTAAAACGCAGTGTTGTAGATCAATTAGTAGAATTTAAAGGTTCAATTTTCCTTGGGACAAAAGTCCATGCACCATTAAGTAAATATGAGCATGTCTATGTCTTGCCTATGGAGAATGTATTGGCTACAAAAGGAACAGGGGTTGTAACATCGGTACCTCCAGACTCGCCGGATGATTATATCACACTTCAGGATTTAAAGAAAAAGGCAGCATATTATAATATTGATCCTTTATGGGTGGCAGATTTTGAACCAATACCAATTATTAATACTCCAACATATGGTGAGTTGGCCGCACCTAAAGTTTGCAAATTGAAAAAAATCAATTCACAAAAGGATCGGGCAGCTTTAACAGATGCTAAAGAATTGGTCTACAAAGAAGGCTTTTATGATGGAACTATGCTCATAGGTGAATATGCTGGGAAGACTGTTCGAGAGGCAAAAGCTTTAATCAAAGGTTTATTGGTTTCAAAAGGGCTTTTATTTATAATGAACCTGAAGGTCTTATTATGTCAAGGTCTGGTGATGAATGTGTAGTAGTACTTTGTGATCAACAGTATTTAGATTATGGCGAGACAGAATGGGAGAAAGCAAGCTGAAGAATGTTTGAAAAAATTAAATACTTTTGGTCTTGAGACTAGGTATCAGTTTGAAAAAAAACTTTGGCTTGGTTAAATCAATGGGCTTGTGCAAGATCATATGGACATGGTTCTAAAATTCCATGATATGTTATGGTGAAAGTTCTTGCAAAAGTTTGATTATAAAAGTGTGAGATAATTTTGATCTTGCTGATGATCTGGA